CAAATTTTGATCCTCTGTATTACTACTCCAAGATTAATCATTTCTTAGCAATTTAATGAGTAATTTTGAACGCCCACCCCATATCAAGTTAGTGCACATTCAAAAAATAGATTTTATTGGGTGCTGACTCAAAATTTAAAGTATGAAGATATTCCATGAAGGTGAAACCTTTTGTTAAACCCCTCAAACTTATCCCAAATTTTTTATTAAGTTTTTGAAATTTTATTGAAGTAAATAAGCTTATGAACTTAGTTATTTGGGCAATTTAACCATCTTTTTTTTAGTGGATTTAATATTTGTTTGAGCCTTACTTGTGTGGAAAAGATACTAACATGTCATTGTTAATGTGGGAGGTATTGATTTTATTCACGCAAGTTAGGTACAAATGGTATTTTGTTTGTGGTGTAGAAAATGGTTAAATTACTTAAACTGTTAAATTCAAAGACTTATTTGTTTCAATAAAAAAATTTGAGGTTTAATAAAAATCTAAAATAAATTCAATGACTTAATATAGAGTTTTGCTTTCCATAAAATGAGATTTGCTTAGTAGTGGTTTTTTTTTTTTTTTAAGTAACAATTATATTAATAATATTAGTATTTGATCTTTAAAAAATAAAAAGAGAATCAAATTTGAAATTTGAATTTCACGTCACTAAAGATGCTATCAATTTACTTCTTAAAGGAAAGTATAACCACTTGAACTATATGACTGATTGCCACTTAGTAGTGGATTTAGTCCCTAAAATTCCATTTCCCCGCTCATTGTAAATTGTAACATGTATTGTAATAATTTTCTTATATTAAGGGTAAAATATAAATAAAAATTGAAATAATAATATCTTAAAAATAAAAAAGTGAATAAGTAATTTTAAGTTTTAAACACATTATTTAAAAAATAGAATAACTAAAACTCAAATGTAGGCAATAGAGAGGTCACGATATATAACCTAATTCAAAATGAATTCTTCGGTTTATTTGTTTCTTTATTTGTCTTGACTCAATTTTTCATATATTTTAAAATTAATTTTTAAAATACTCAAATTTTTTAATATTAATTTTAAAATTAAACTAAATCTCGTGTAGGTTTTCAATAGTTTTTGATTTTTTTTTAGAAGTTTTTTCCTCTCGCCGTCGCTAGGGTTTCCTCGCGACGGTCGAGCCCCTCGCCTAGGCGCTTCTCCCTGGTTTCCTGCAGGGCTTCTCCCCCCGCTTCTCTTTTTGTTCTTCCCATGGCTCATCCGCTTATGTTGCCTTGGATTTATCGCAATCTCGAAGAGGTTTATTTGATTTTTGAGTCCAATCAATCGAGCCTCCAACAAATGCCGAACCCCGCTTCGATCCCTGCAACACAGC